TCCAAACAAACTGCGAAAGATCCAGCAGGAAGCCTTCCTCAAGTGTGTCCCCTTGACGGAAGTCAGCGTGCCACCCACCCTGCTCTATATTGCGAGGCGGGCCTTTGCAGGATGCACGCAGCTCAATCGATTCCAAAGAACTGGCAAACGAATGACTTGGCGAGGCACATACTCTCGTGCCAATGCCTTTCTGAGGTGCGATAATCTTGATATGCCAAAGTGGGTTCGAGGGATACCACGCAATCCAAAAGACGAGGATCAATGGGCTGATGACTCTTTTCGGAGTCCTCAACTAGGGGTACACGGAGCTACAGTGGTAACGCTACTACTGCCATGCCTTTCTGCTGGCACCCGTGTGCTGGCCCTGCCTACGTCAGAGGCCATCCTCGCTGAGTATCCAAACGAGCAATTTGCCCACCAAAGAAACATCCAGGAGTACCTTCGAGAAAGTGCTGATAACTAGGACCTGGAGCGTAATAGGACCAATTGCCACACACGGCCACAAATATACGTCAACACTTGCTTGCTAGCCTCTTAGACTAGCGCCCGTGTGTTGGTCCTAAGAGTGCCAATCAATTTTGTTTTGCTCTTCGCTTTCGTTGGCCTGAGTAGCTAGACAGGGCCCAGGCTGCTACCCGCGTAGTGGTTCTGGATGGGTACAGTGTACAGAATTAGGAAAACGGCGTTTCACTCTGTCTCACCTATTTTCGAGTAGTTCACGGGGCCCTGCATGTATCGGCCTCATCATACCTGGCCGCGTTTGAAAGATGTAGTCAGATTTCCAATTGCGACATTTTTGCAGCGCACTTCAAAGGATTTTGCCTTTCCCCCGCCTTCATTCGCCGTCCATGCAGCATGTCTTGCTTTGGTCTCGGTGATGAGCCGTTTCTGGAGTGGAGTGTTTGACGTGCTGCCTTTGTTGCCTCCCCCTCGGGGGGAGGTACGGGAGAAGCAACTCCCTTGGCCTCTTTTTGAAAGCTCGCCAGTGGCATTACACGGTCTTCACTATCGGTATGTTGGACATTCCGAGCATGGGGACTGTGGTCTTCCCAGGTAGTCACTCTTTGGCTTGCACGAGGCTCGTGGCTGCCAGCCGTCAAGCAGGTTATCTGACTTAAAACGAGTCCAAGATGAAATCTTGTGGACCATGCATGTAAGCGCACATTGATGTCGGTCATGGGACTCTTTCGTGCTCTGATGCAAAGCCTGTCCAAGCAAGATCCTTGCAATAAATCAACCGCAGAAGTTTGATGTTTACTTCTGTGGGCAGCTGATCTTGCATTGATGTGCCTGCTCTTGCTCACTTGTTTGCCAGTTCGTCGATGGACAAGAACTTCTGAGTGCTTTGCTGAATTCACTGCCCCTGTTTCACCTCTCTTCATGCCTTCATGGCACTTCGAGTTACTCTACAGGTTGCTCCCTTTCCGGTGGTTTTTGGGTGTTTGTTGGGTTTTGCGTGTTTGGGGGCTTGTTTGTGTTTCTTCCTTTCTCTGTTGGGTCGCAACCTGGCTGGTAGCTCTCTATTCACTCGACTAAGGTGACTTGTGCACAACCTGCACATACAGCGCCTCCACTCGTGCAAAAAAAACATGACTGTGGCAAATTCAAAGTTCTTGGCATAGCCTGAATCCACATTAGGTTCGTTCGCCTTGCGGGAATCGTTCGAACGTCGTTTTCGGACGAACCACATTTGTATGGAGCGATGGAGTTCAAAGAAGATGGACATGGAACAACTCTGAAACGGAATTGGGCATGGTCCTTTTCACGGAGGCACCAATGCAGGCCTGGTGTGTCATTAGGCAGCGCGCAGTGCTGCCCACAGCACCGCAAGCGTCAAGCGATTGCGCGACACACAAACCAACGCAAGGTGCTTTACAGTGTGTGCGTCTGTGTCTGTTCGTTCCGTAGTAGTAGAGCTGTCGGAGTACAACTCTAACAGCGTGATGCGGGTCTTGCCGGAGTGCTGCTTCCTGGAAGCTGGCCTAACCTCATTAACCTTGCCTTCAGGTTTTACATGGATAGGACCGGCCGCATGTGAACGCTGCCTGCAGCTGCAACTGGTGGATCTCTCGCGAACAGAGATCACAGAAATTATGAACTGTGCCTTTGCACATTGTCAGCACTTGCAAATCCTAAAGCTTCCAAACAAACTGCGAAAGATCCAGCAGGAAGCCTTCCTCAAGTGTGTCTCCTTGACGGAAGTCAGCGTGCCACCCACCCTGCTCTATATTGCGAGGCGGGCCTTTGCAGGATGCACGCAGCTCAATCGATTCCAAAGAACTGGCAAACGAATGACTTGGCGAGGCACATACTCTCGTGCCAATGCCTTTCTGCGGTGCGATAATCTTGATATGCCAAAGTGGGTTCGAGGGATACCACGCAATCCAAAAGACGAGGATCAATGGGCCGATGATTCTTTCGGAGTCCTCAACTAGGGGTACACGGAGCTACATGTGGGCTGTTTACTGTAGAGTCTGTCGAGAGTCGGCGAAATTGGATCAGGTTTTGTGACACAGGTACTTCATGAGTTTTTTCTCGGTCTGTGGGACCATCTTACTTCGAGAGACTTGAAATCAGTTGAACAGTGTGACTGTTTTTGTCAGGAAGGAAAGCCGTGCTCATGTCGAAATGACCCTTGAGTCGTCTCTCCCTTCCTTCTTTTCTTTCCTTTCGGAGAACTTTTCTTCGCCGAACTTTTTCCGCAGCCGTTTGTGTGTGTGGGGCGTCCGCGTGGGAAGCCATGTTGTCGTTTGAGGGCAGCTGCATTGCTATGCTGGCACTGTATGGCGCGCTGATGCTGCTTGTGAAGCTTTTGAGCACTGTTGGAATGGTGAAGAGCCTTTTGAGACAGGAGAAGCCTAAGTCTGGAAAGCCAGAGGCGCAAGAGCCACTGATGAAAGCTGTTGCTTCTTCAGGCGCTGCTGCTTCTTCAAGCGCTGCTGCTGCTGCGAGCGCTGCCGCTGGCGAGCCGGCTGGTGTTGTGAACGCAGCAACTTCTGAGTGGCCACGAGTGAATGCTGTGAAGGAGGTATTTGTGAGCCCACATGGTTCCAAATTCCATACTGACCGCCAATGCCAATACCTGAGAGGTAAGGTGAGAGTGGCTTCTTATGGTGTCTGCTAGAACGAGCGTTTGTTTGCACAGCGACTCACTACTTTCCAAAATGGCATGTGAGCTTCGAATGGGGGTGTGAAGTTGAAAAATTCAACGGTACTGAGGAGCGAAGACTCCATACCACTTGTTTGAAGACCACATGTAACCCTACAGGAACATTGGAAGAGCCCTTCCAATGTTTACAAATGTGTGCAGATGTCTAGTGACTGTTCACAGTGGTGTTGTGGACACCGGAATGCATTTGGAATATGGTTTTGGTCGTTCTCAACTGTTTAGAGAACTTTTGTGAACCTTTGAGAACCTTTTTAGAACCTTCGTGAAGAGAGAGCACTGTTTTTGAACCTTTTTGCTGGACAGCAGCATGTTTAGACTTGAGGTCACTTGAAGACTGACCTTTTGAGAATTCCCGTAAAGCTTCTCCGAAGCTTTACCTGAATGCTTTGTATGAAGGGTTACGAACGTTTACTTTGGCTCAAGTGTGCGGCGAAAAGAGTGTGTGTCTTTTGCCTGCTTTTTCCTCCGTTTTTCGACTCGGGTCGTTGAGACACTTGACTGACTAGGTGTTTTGAGCACGAGAGCTCTCGATCTTTCCTCGAGAGTTTGTGTGTCAAACTTTCACGCTCGGGCCCTTTGTTGCAATGCGCGGTGCCGCTTCGGTGCCGCTCGGTCCCTCTGATGAAGACAGGAAAGAAACTGCTGTGTCCTGCAGTGTATTTTTCGATCTTGCTGGCTGCTCTTGTCCCGACGATCAGTTTGGCCTCTTTTGTTGCAATGCCACGCAGTTTTGCGTGCTTTGACCGCAGGCTCCGTTGCGCGCCAAGTTGTGGGAAGGGCAGCTCCACTCGTTGGCGGCCGTAAAACACGCAATATCTTGTGAGAGTCTCCATCCTTGTTTTTCTGCTGGTCGGTTTTGCTTTGGTTTTGGGGATTGGTTTTGTTTTTGTGTTTTGCCCCCTTCTTGATGGAGACCCTCCCCACAAATTGCACAAGCTGACCTGTGCACTTCCTGCATGAATGGCAGCTCGACTCATGCAAAAAAATATATCTCCTGTCTGGCGAGCCCACTCTCTCCACTGTTCAGAACAGGCTGAAGGAATGTTCACAGGACACTTGAGAGCTCCGTGGGCGAGACCCAGCGTTCGTTTCACACCGAATTAATTCAAGTGCGTGGAGAAAAAACCTCCGATAGATCTGTAAGATTTCCTGTGCTCGTTGGTTTTTTTGTTTTGGATTTGATTTGGTGTTTTGGTTTGGTTGTCTTTGTTGTTTTTTGGTTTTGTTTGACTGCAAGAAATCTTTAGTCTCTTCAGTAACTGACCTTCGCATTCCTACGATGACTGGCAGCAATCCTCGTGCAAAAAATTTCGGATGCAAACACATGCATTTCAGCCATCGGCAAACATTAATGAAAACGACCTGTTGTTTGGATGGTGACATTGATATTTGTGACTTGTTGTCAAAAATTTGTGTTTGCGTTGTTTTCGACATGGTAAAATTGTTTGTTTGGCATTGTTTTTCAGTGTCGACCGTGTATCCATGAAAACGACGTGTTGATGGGATGGGGAAGTTGTGTTTGTGACTTGTCAACTGAATTTTGCGTTTGCGCTTCAAATCAAATTGGTGTTGGAAGGAAGATAGCTTTCGACATGTCAAAACCTGTTTGCTTGACACTGTTTCTTGGGTATCAGCCGTGTAAAGGGTCATGCGTTGGCCGTTGGCGCATGTATACATATATATATATATACAATCATTGCTTCGATGCATGTATCTTGTTTGCTGTTGTGGAACGTAATCTTTGTTTTTGTTGTTCGCTGGGTGTGCAGGCCTTTGCAAAACTATGCGATGGTTTGCGTGTCCAAACATGAAGCTTCCCTGGCAACCAATACTTAAAGTGTGTCCTTTGTGACAGCAGTACATTGCACCTGCACCCTTCGCGTGAAAATTGTACGTTTCTGTTTCAACGCATCAACCATTTTTATGTTTTTTGTTATTTGTTTTGGCATGTGCAGGAAGTACGTGTGCCATGGCGGGGCGTGCCCTTCCGGCCTGCGGCTTTGTGGTTTATGCAGACAAGGCTGGCGCGCTGCCTTTGTCGATTGAAAGAAGAGCCAAAGGACTGCGGTGGGTTGTTTGTTTTGTTTTGTTTTTTCTTTCAAGGCTCCCATGTCAGAGACACACTTCTGTGCTGCCTGCGCCTTGCCAAAAAGGACCCTCTCAAGCATTTGGAAGACCCAAAGTGCCACTTTCAGGGTGGCAGGTCACGGCAGGTATTTCATTTGGGGACGATCCTGTTGGATCCCTGGCAAACTCAGGGAGCCACAGCTTAAGCTGGGAGCGGTGCTACCGGTCCACATGAGCGATGTTGGAACGCTGCGAATTCGATGATTGTTTGAGCAAATGGCAGAAAGAAACCCACCTAAGCCCCAGCCCTAAGATAAATGACCCTCTTGAAAGAACTTTAAGACTGACTGACCGGGCACACAGAATGTCTTTCAAGGGCTGATTGGTAAGAACCTGGTTCTTTTGTCGTCGGATAGATCTTTTTCAATTTTTTTGGGTTCAACATCAAGACATGACGCGATGCTAGGTGAATAGTATCCCTGCAAACTTCAGTTCATCCTCCCTGTATTTCAGGTTTGACCCCCTGTCTTTTGACCATCATCCGAGACAGGAAAGCGCGTGACCATCATCCGAGAGGTGAAAGGCAATGCTCGAGCTCTCTGCCATTCCTTGACTAGTCTTTTGGGAGTCGGCGGCACCGTGCACAGCAAAGGCTCCGTGTCAGACGTGGAGGTTCAAGGGGAACAAACAGAACGAGTGCAATCAGCTCTGCAGCAGCTGGCTTGCGTTCGAGGCGGGGCAAACCCCAAATGTATCAACAGGAAAACTTCATGTCGCCAGCTTGGCACGCCAGAAAACGAGTCGAGGGCAAAAACTGGAGAAGATGTGCATTTGTTTCTGGCTGTTGGGTTACTGTATATATATAACTTTAGTAATATAACTTTATATAACTACCAAGTAGGTCCAGGTAGGTCCAGGTAGCTGCTAGCTATGTGTACTGTGCGGTGGTAATAAATCTCTGTTTTGGTTGTCATGGTGCTCCATGGGACTGCTGTTATTGTTATGTTGAACACGCCCACCCCATGGTCCGCTCTTGATGTGGTGCGCTGGGGCGGTGTCGGGTGGGCTGATTGAAAAATTCATTAGAGCTTGATGAACACTTGATGCTTCTCTCTTGATGTTACACGGCACACTTGATCGTTCGTCCTGATTCACTCTAGTTGGGAACAAGTCTGTCATACTTGCTCTGGAACAGATACAGCAAAAACATACAAAAACTGTATATCTCACTTGTAGCCACGAAGGGCGTCTTGCCAACAGACGTGCCAGTAGACCGCCGGCAAGCAAAGTCACCAGTGTGGAGCCTGCCGGGAAACAGGCTACTGAGTGGACACGTGTTCACATCCGTCAGCACAGCTGCTTCGCACATTGGCTGTGGCTGCCAAGAGAGCCTGCGAAGAGCCTCCCAGACACAAAAGACAACAGTTTTTGCTGCAGGACGCAGCAGTGGGAAACAAGCTGCTTCCGATCGGAAACTTGAATCACCATCATGTGGTGCACCAAGTTAGCAGTTTGTGAAGCTCGTGCACACTCTCTCTTGCACGCTCTTCAGTGGTTCAAGCCTCGGCAGGTGTGAGCATCTCGATCGTCCTTCCTGGTTGACATTGGTCCACCTCGCCGCCGTGACATTTTTCTTGCCAAAGGCAGAACACTTTTGGAATCCCGACGTGTCGAAGCACCAGTGGCGCCAGTTGGCGCCAGTTTGCCCGTTGTTCGTTTTTTGCAAACGGTGGTCGAGTTGTCAACAGGGTTTTTGACGCTCATTCCCGTTGCAAATGAGCCATGAAAGATCAAAGGACCCTGTGAATAGCTCAAGGAAACCCACATGGATTCCAGCGTCATGTTCGCCTGCTAAAGCACAATGGAGTCAGTATGGGTGCAGCATTCGTGATGACCAGTGCCATGTGCATGGAGCGTCGGCCACACAATCCGTGGATGTCGCGGTGGTGGGTCGCGGTTCGTGACACGGTCGACGCGTGACGTGTCGGTCGGCGTCACGCGTCGACCGAGTCGACCGTCGAGGCCCCAATGGTGCCAAGCTCAAGGCACCAGCGGTGGTGGAGCGCAGTTGTGCCTACGACGAGTTCCTGAAGGAAGAGGAAGGTCAGACGTTACGACGCAAAGAGCGTTGGGATGCAGGACTTGTTTTTTTTTTGCAGGGTGGGAGGAGTGCGGCTGGCAGGGCGTGCAGCTTGGAAGATGATGGGGTTTGTTGAACAATTGAGCTTGTTGGCCTTCATGTGGAAAGAAGGGAATGTGTCGCCAACAAAGTCTTGTTCTGCTCCCTCAGAGACTTCTACTCTCATGTAAAAGTATTTGGCCATCAAGCAATTGGCCAAAGAACCAAGTAGTCTTGTTGTGTGGGTTTGGTTGATCTTTTATGATGCGCAAGCTCTTTGTAACGTTTCCAGTGGCGAACCGTGCTCGTCAGTCTGTGTTGTTGAAGTGTTTTGGTAGCAGAATGACCCAGAGCGGTGGTAGTGGCTTTGGGGTGGTTGGATTTAAAGGACAAACGATGTTCAAATGAAAGGACTTCTGAGTGACGTGTGTGTCGCTTCAGGACCTCGGCAGGTGCGAAGCGAACCACCGGAGGATGCCCCATGTCGTGCGTGGCATGGCTATTGGATATATTGCAACGGGCATTGTGAAGCTTTGGATCCAACGATCATTTGGGACGACATTCAAGAGATCAGGAGCCGTTTCTGATTTTTATTGACTTCGAGGCTTCCAGCGGACCAGGAACACTTCCCTCATGATCTGCCTCGCCGGTGGTAGCCCGGCCTTAGGAACTTTCCAATGCCTCGCACTTTGAACACTATTTGCAAGAACACAAGCAAAGTGAGCCATTGAGGTTTGCTCCGGCGACCCTGTGGCGGACATGAGGTAAGTCAAGCCGATTTCGATTGCTTTGCTGGCCACTGATCACCCCAGGAGCGATCCCATGGCAGGCTACGCGCCCGCCGCACGGCCTCCGAGTGCGCCTTCGCAGCTGGACGCGGTGCTTCAGCGGCTGGGGCTCATGGCAGCCGTGGGTCCGGCAGTAGAGTCTTATCGCTTGGAGTTGGCGGCCGCACGCGCCGAGCGGGCACAGCCCAAGGTGCACTTGGTGCGGGTGTGGTGCGGGTGTAGGGAGAGGGGTGAGATGGCATGAGAGGTGACATGAGGGTGGTTGAGAATTGTTGACATTCCGGAACGCGAGAGAGTTCTCACTCATGAAACAAGATTCAAGACCTTTGATTGTTTCTGCAAAGGGTTGCAAAGGGGGGGGCTTTCGGCACCAAAATGTTGGGTGTCTTGACCTTGTAGATGCATGAAGACCCTGTCCAGACACCATCCCTTGGGCACCCCGTCCACTGTTCTCTCATTCTGCTCAGGCGTCCTTCTGCGCTGTGCAGCCGCGGCCCGAGAGCGAGGCGCAAGTCTTTACTTGTGGCACCTGTGGCGCATCCTTCACCATGCAACGAACGCTGAAGCCTCGTGGCCTGAGAAGACCACATGTTCCTTCCAAGAAGGGAAGCACCACCCTGAGATGGGAAGCACCACCAGATCGTTTTTTGTACTAAGATGATTTTTCCTGGCACGGGCTTGTCAGCAGGGTTCAGACCTTGTCAGCAGGGTCCAGACCTTATCGTTTTGGTGAATTCCAACACCTCCACAGACACCTCGTCAGGTCAAGAGGACGACACGAAGCACGGGACGTCTTTTCTCCCGGCCCAGCAGGTCGGGGCGCCACCTTCGTAGAAAGGTATTCCTTCGTTTAAAGTGGGAGGTAATTTTGTGCTTGTCCTGCTTGTCCACGAGGTCTACGAGGTCTACCACCTGCATACTGCCTATAAATCCATATTCAATCAATACCTTAGGGTGTTTGGTCATGCGGCCGAGAAGAGGTCCCCTTTGGGCCACAGAGTCTGAAAAGTCTTGCTTTCAGTCCGAAAGGGGACCTCTTCTCGCCTGCTCGGGGGAAATCCACCTCTTCTCGGCTGCGGCTCGGGGGAAAGGATTTCGATAGTGGGTCAAGTCCAAAAGTTCTCAAAGATTCAAAGCAAGACTCTGCAACATACTCTTCCAAGAAGCCTTTGCGCCTGTTCATTTTGGATTCCACATTCCTCTTTTCCCAGCGATCTTGCCGGGACTAAGCACCTCAGACTCAATACTGCAGGAGAGAATTTGATTCTCCTTCTCCTTTTCCATCCAAGAGTCAGCCCTAGATATGGAGAACCGTCCCGAGGATGCACAAGCGCAGCTGCGCAGCTCAGATGAACATCGCAAGCTCCGCAGCTCCATTGGGCATCGAGCCTCCTTCCTGGCGCTGGGATTCCATGAGCAAAGCACGCGAAGATGCAGAGATGGAGTTCGTTTCCGACCCTGATCCCTTGAACCCCGTGATGAATGTGGTGAACGATGAGTTCCTCTCCCCGGAGGCGCGTTTGGCTTTTTACGGAAAAACAAGCTGTTTTGGGGGTTCCTCACGGAAGGGTTGAATCGAAGATATTGAATCAAAGATGTTTGAGGCAGGGGCGGCTCAGTACTCTTCTGAATTCGTTGGCTTTGAGGCGGCTCAGTACTTGATGCCCGAAAGTCCGAAGTACACTCTTGGCTCCCTGCTGGATCATGCCATCCCTTTGGTCTCGCGGAACCGGCAGAAGAAAGCCACGGCCATTCCGAAGAAAGACCGCACAGGCACAGCCACACGTCCATGCCCAGTTTGCGACCAGGACTGGGGGCAACTTTTTTCAAGTGCAACAACATTGAAGCTCCCCAAAAAGAGATACACAAAAAAAGACAAGAACCGGCAACGTTTACAGTATTTCTTTTTTTAATTGCATTTTTTGCTTGTTCATCTCGGTTGCTTTTGCCATTCTCTTGCCTTTTTGGCTCTTTCACATTTTCCTCCCAACATAAGACCATGATAACGTTCAGGTCCATACCATTCATAGAACTCGTAGGGGATCAGCTGCTTGTCTCATTTGGTGGTGTCTTTTCAACCTGCGGGGACAGGAGTATCCCGAAGCGATGCTGCCTGCACATGTGGAGGACTGCCTTCAGGCGACTGAGGATCTACCGCAAGGCTGGGGCTCTGCCAGTGCAGCCAATCGCCAGATGGATCGTTGGGTCGGGGCGATAGGGTCGTCGCGAGGACCAAGCACCCTGTCACAGCTGTTATCCCCCGAACGAAATGGTCGTCTTGATATTCCAGTGACATGTTGTCTTTTGTCATGAAGGGTTTGCCTTCTTGGGACAGAAGGGAATAGGTGTTTTGGGAGATGACTTTTGTGCACAGACATGTAGCAAGAACACGGGATTTTTGCCATGAATTCTGCTTCAAACAGCTCCGAAAACCAAACAATTCGGCTTCCGGGGGGACAACTGTCGACGGTGAGAGGTGAAGAGTTTCGCGATGCAGCGGAGCTACCTGAAGAGCTCTTGGAGTCCCTGCTTCAGCTGCAGTTGACACCTGCCTCCTCCGAAGTCTTTTGGAGTGCCTTCGAACACTGGCGAGAAGCACGTGGCGTTCAGGAGGCTTTCCTAGCCGCTTTAGAGGACAGGGATTGAAGTAACGCCAGAACAGATTTCTTCAAGACAGCTGGCGTCGCCTGCCACTCTCTCTCTCTCTCTCTCTTTCTCTTTCTCTGCGAGGTTTCTATCGTTTGTCTGGGTATTGTGCCTGGAATGGTGGATGCAGGGCCAAACAATCACCGCTTCTACAGGTGCACTTTTCCAGAGAAAAGGTATTTGGGCTACTCCAGGATTGGGATGAGGATTGATGTACCAGAGACCCACCTCTTTCTTGCCCAAAGATGTTCCAAACCTCAGCGAATTGAAGTGTTGAGACTGGCAGCGAAATGTTTCGCAAAGCTTAGCCGATTAGTGGTCGCCACCTGTGCATCCCAAGTGTTACGTTTTTTTCTTCGGCCATATAATGAACATACTTAAACACGTGGGTTGCATTTTGCGTTGCATGGGATAACTTTTCGACTGTGCAGGTGGACAAGCATTCTTAGCTAGTGTGTCTACTTGATACAGGTCAGAATTGACATCAGTTTACCCTGCGCCCGCAGGAGGCTCTCCGCTGGGTCCCTGAGCAGGACGGGGAAGAACCTGGTTTCGCGCTGGAGGAGGCGCGGGAAGACGCTGCGGAAGAGCCGCAAGACACCTTGTGCGTCAAAAGATGGAGTTCAGTTTAGGAGAAACCGTTGGAAAGTGCTTTCCGACATGGAGAAAGGAAGAGGCCCTCCAAAAAGTCCTTGAACAACCTGGACCTGACTGTTTGTTTCAAGAGGAAGCTCCTCTGCAAGCTGACTGCTTCCTTGAGTTCCAGCGGTGAAACTGGAGGTGAAACTGAGTTCGATGACGAATCACATCACTCATGTAAACGAATATCTAGTGCTGCAAGCTACTTACACTCTACTCACTAACATGGAAGCGGAAAATCCCCCTGTTTGTAAGGGAAAGTAGTCTTCCAAGGGACCTTTTTCCACTTCCATGTCTCACCATTTTCTGGTGTTGATTGTTCTTCATAATATACAATAATATACTACCTCTCGCACATCGGTCCGAGTCGATGTCATGCCGGACACTCTGGTCCGAACATGGGAGTTTCCCCAACAAAACATGCAATCACCACTCATGTACAGGAATCAGCCACGTTTCGAGGCGGCGATCCGCACCAACACAAAATAGCTGTGCAAGCATCGTGAGGCCTTTGGCCGACACAAAGGGCGCTGCACCTTCGATACATCCCTGTGGCAAAATGCGACCACATGCACGTGGCTTTGTAGAATTGAAGCAACCTGGAAACGGTTGGGCCTTGTCAGACTTGTGGAGAAACAGCAAGGCCTCTCTCAAGATCTTGTACAGGTCACGAAACGTCAGGTCAAAAGAGTCGCCTGGCAAGCGATGACCTTCAGCGTGGAAAGCAACTGCAATTTCGCAAAAGGAAATAGACTCTTCTCCAGAACATTTCCATCGTAAACCACTCAAGAAATTTATAACAACTCTCCATCCATCTTGGCCATGCCGCCACGACTTCGGTGGTGCAATATCGGATGGAATCTTGGGCTTCCAATGAAACTGTGTAATCGGTGTCGTCCAATGCCACTGCGGGTAGAGAGCTGCGGCTTGGAATTCTGTGAGCTTATCGGGAAGCTCAACGACACTGTCATCAGTTGTATCATCGTTTGTATCAGTCCTGGTTGGGAGCATGGCATGCAACATTGTCAACCACTGCTGATGCTTATAAATTTCTTGTTTGGCCTGCCTGTGAACTGCACCATCAACTGGAGAAAGACGATAGGCAAGATGTTTTGCAACTCTATCAGCAACACGATTCAGCAAGATATGCTGTCTTGTGGTCGCAAATTCCCTTGCCTTTTCCTCCGTGATCATGCAATCCGGTGTTTCTTCAAGAACGTGGGCGGGGATCCAAATCACATGGAACGGCTTAGGATGACTCCTCCATCGTACTTCACACAACGCTTTAAACTTCCGCCACCAAGCCTGACAATGCCAGTGCACATCAATAGCGCCATTATCCAAGAATGAGGCGACTTGTGAAACCGCAGATTGACAGTCAGAAAACACTGTGGCAGGTGTTGTTGCACTGAAAAAGACTTGGAAGATAGCCCATAGTTCAGTGATGTAAGACGACAGTGCCCAATGGTTGACCATTCCACATGACACTGTTCGACCTGCATCATCAATGATGGAAAAGGTTCCAACTGACAGCCAAAAATTGTCCGTTGACAACTGAACCGTCAGTCCATCGCTGTATGTGACCTTCCGGGTTGAAGGATTCAGCAGGAATGAGGTCATCAGCTGATTGATGCAAGAACCTTCTGCGACCAATAAAATTTGGATGCTCAACATGGCCAAGCATTCTAAAGTTCCGACCAAGCTGGTGTCCAATCGGTGCACCAATGTCACGGTGCAAAACATGGCAGTCACTTGTCAAATGATTCATGGATTCCTTAGCTGTTTGGCAGAATCGACAATCGGAAGATGTCGCCCACCCTGTTGCTGCCATGCGGTCATTAGTCAAGAAACAACCAACAACAACAGATTCAAATCGCACCTTCATTGGCAGCTCCCCCGGGGTCGTTACCGGAGATCGCGCACGAAACAAAGTGGAAAGCTGATGATCAAAAATACCCTGGGGTTTACAAAAGTCCTTCCGAGGCGTACTTATGGCACGAGCATAACAAGCATGTCTACACACAGCTTGGAGGGCTCTCCTAGCATCTGGCGGAGACAAGTCAAGGATGCAAGTGGGTTTGGACCCTTGAAAAGACAAGCAAAGATTATGATCAACTTCCAACCCCAGTGTTTCACACGCCAGTCGAAGCCGGTTTGCCAGTGAATGTGGCAACTCGTCGGCTTTCTTCATGGTCCGTTGAAGCTGCTGGAACAAAGCTGGTTGCAAATAACAAGACCGAATAGTTTCGAGAACAACTTGATAGGCACAAGCAAAGGTTGGTTCAGTACGATGCGGGGCCGACAAAACGGCCTGGACAAGCCATTTAGATCTCCATTTGGGTCTACCATTCCACAAACAGCGAACAATGGCATTTTGTATCTGGTCAAGTGCACGCTTGGGAATACGTGAGATGTGCGCACCAAATGTGAGTCTCGGGATGACTTTGGCTCCAATTAGGAAGGACTTAATTTTCTGAGGAACAGGTAACACGGCTATATTGTCAATATCACACAAAGCTTGTTTGAGTGACTTCTCAGAAAAACCAAAGGGTGACTTAGCGGATGTATAAATCCGCGTGCCCAAAACCTCAAATTCGGTGACGATGACAAAATCAGCAAACATGGCTTTGAGATGTTTCCGGCCATGTGCATTATTAGACCACAGTGAGGACTTGCCAGCATTGAGCTTTTGGCCTACTAATGCATCCCAGACACCTGTGAGCTGAACGGCTGTCTTGAGATGATGCAAGTCAATGATACGGCACCATAAGTATGCATCATCGATATAGGCACGAATAGCAATCCCAGGCAGGTTCTCGACCAGATGATACCAGGCCTTGTTGTATGCATTCATGGCTAAGATCGAAAAAGAACAACCCTGCGCTACTCCGTTAGCATGAGTCACAGCTACCGGCGAGGTCCAAGACCTGAAGGCCAAGTGCTTATGCATACCTTGATACATTCGAAGAAAGATGCTTACAACGTGAGTGGGGATCCCAAACGCGACAAATAAACACGCCGCAAATTGAGGGATAATACGGTCAAATGCCTTAGACTTGTCAAGCTTGATGCCCACCACCGTATCCCCTTCAAGGTTTGCTGAATCCAGTTCAAGGCGCACTTCATTCGACAGGTTGGACATCGCTCGATGTTTAACACCTCCAATGATGGCCGATGGAAAGGCTTGCTGTTGCCATTGCTGCAGTTGCGCATATCTTGCTCCCGTGTAAGCAAGAAGCAGGGGTGGTAAAACTGTGATTAACCGCTTATTTGTGGCAGACGCCGGTCCTGGCTTATTCAAGATAACTTGCTTTGCAAAAACTAAAGCTCTAGGGAGGGGGTCATCGGACTCCTCAAGAGATTTAAAGAACAAAGCAAGGGCTTGGAAGCAAGAGGGGTGCAAAGCCTGAAGCTCATGTGTCCTCCAACCATCTAAGCCTGGAGCAGCTTGCTTCTTTCTCTTTTGGATGACATGATACAACTCTTTTGGAGAAACAGGGGGGAGATGCACCTGAACTTGCTTATCATGTATGTACGGCCAGACTGTCTCAAGCATTTTGAGAGGATGTTCGGACAACACATTGGCTGCAAAAATATCATCCCATACTTCATTCAAGGTCTGAATGGCCTCTTCAGGCTGTGTGACAATTTGATTATGGCAATTAGTGACCAAGTTTGGGGGTTCATCTTGGGCTTTTTGGCGGAGATGCTGAAAAATATAAGCACAACCATGTTCGGCGGACTGGTTGACCTTTCGTTTCCAACTTTGAATCCGCTTGAGACGAATGCGGCTGTCAATCGTCATGGCAAATGTTTCCGCCCAACGCCGCACCAGATGGAGTTCCACCAACGTTGGTTGGGTTGGGATAGCCCACACAATGGCTTTGCAAAACCGCTTGACTCCATGGTAGGCTTTCTTCGCGAGTCTTGCAGTATTGAAACCGTCTTGGGCCGATCCGACATCCCTCGAAAGCCTAACAAATAGCTCATCAAGCCTATTAATCAGTTTATACAAGTCAAGTGACACTCTTGTGGCAGCACATTTAGTGGAGAGCTGCTTTGGACAAACTTTCTTTTCAACAAAGATCGGGGGTTGTGCTCGAACTCTTGGTCCTGAACCCCACACACCTCCTTGTTCGAGAAGGGATTTCAGAAAGAACTCATTGACAATATCCCACTTATCATCATGATTGGGTGCATGTTCAAAGCGCGAAGCAAAGTGCTCATGCCACACGGGAGAGGGTTCCTCAATCCACTCCTCAGGGGTGACATTGGTGACATCAATAGGGGCGAATTTATGAAGGATGTAGCCAGCTTGATGAATGGACTCCCACTTGAACGTTACTTTAATGGGCCGGTGTTGGCGTCCAAAGTGTTCCATGACCTGGGCATCAACCATGGCGCAAAAAGCGACCTTATTCAAGAGAACCCCATCAATGGATGTGCAGCCTTCATCAGCCCCTGAGAAAGAGCAGTCCTTGGAATAGGTATACGGACGAACCATGTTCCCCCATTCATCAGTAGTGGAAAGTGGGTCAACCCATCCTTGAAAGTTAATTGCTCCAGCAAGTGATTCATACGAGCTTGGGGGGGCTTGGAAGTCGCCAGCGACCACCACAAGAATTTCCCCAAATTGGGCAATCACAACCAAAAGATCATCAAACAACTTATTATTTTCAGAGTGGACCTTCGAATCGCTTGAAGCACCAGTGCAAGCGTACACGCTGAAAATAAGGGCTTTAACTTTTGGTGTGACTTGAAACCAAGCAGCAGCAACACGTTTAGAGTTGAAAAGCCTTTGGAAAAGACCTGTTTGATCCTGCGAGGCCTCAAACGGAGTGATGAGGCAATCAGCACCAAGAATAGCAGTTCCCCCACATGGGGTTTTTGTAGTACCATTGGCATGCCATAATCCAGGGAGAAGCTGACCTAGAATAGGCTTCAAACCAGCAGCTTC